GAAGCTCGAGGTCTTCTTGGTGCAGGCTGTGGTTGACGGAGCCGATGGCATGTCCTCGTTCTCTCCGGTGCAAGCAGTCGGACCGGAGGACCTCAGCTTCGAGGTTGCTTGGGGCGCCGCCCTTGGGCTGGGCGTCGAAGTGAAAGTGAACATGGAAGCGATTGACTTGGCGACTGGACAATCTCAGGGTTCAGTCGTGCAGGAGATGAGTCTACACCTCGGCCTCATGCAACCCTCACTGGGCATCACAGCTCAAGCCCTCGTCCTGGCAGACCAGTGGCCAGGGCAACACACCTTGGCACAGCTGCTCCTGGCACCGCGAGCGTGTCTTACGAGCATCTTCCAGTCTGCGCCCCAAGTCCAAACCCTCGAGGCGAAGTTCTCGACGCTTGCTGCTCCTCTGAGCTTCGAGGCATGTTCCAAAGCTGCCTGTGCTACTACATGTACTATGTTGCTACCTAGTATGTTAGCGGCCGTGTTCTTGTCTTGTAGCCTTCTTGGTGTGTTCTCTGACCTTGACGGATTGCAGAGGCCAAAACAACAGGCGCTCTGGAGGCATCCATATCCTCGTTCCTCAACCACGTCGTGGTGCTCTTCAACCAGGTTTACGAGCCTCTGCTGCCCGGGGCCATCCAGCGGGCCGCCGGATCAAAACTTCTGCTTTCCAAGTTGAATGAGGCCCTGAAAGCGCAGATGAAACCTGGAGGTTGCATTGATCCCTCTATGGCCTCCCAGAAGATTCGCACGCAAGTGCCTCAGAACTACAGCAACTGGCCGCCTGTCTTCGACACTGCGTTCCGGAGTCGGTTGAACAATTTCATTGATGGCTTCCTCGCGCAGAACACGTCAGTTTTGGGCCAGTGCTTCTCCGACGTACCAAGCCTCAGGCTTCCATTAGACGCTGAGTTCACCCTAAAGCAGCTGAGTGCCGAGGGCACGGACCAGGTCAGCAACCTCCGAGTGCTGATCCCCGAGACGCAGCCCAGTTTGCTGGGCATGAGTGTTGCAGTGAAGTGCCCAGCTGCTGCAGCGGCATGGCGGCCAAGTCTCGGCATCAACGGATCTTTACAGGCCGGGGGCTTTCAAGCTAGTGGCCTGGCAAGTGTCGTGGTGCCTTGCGGAGCTGCCAACGCGGAAATTGAAGTTGTGCTTGACCTTTGGAGCCTCCTGGATGTGCAGCTCCCGTCAAGCCCAGCTTGCCTTCTGGCGTCTACATTTGCGAAGCTGGACCTCAAAGAAATCAACACGACCTGGGATGGTGGTGGTGACTTCCAGGTCACGCCAAGCAACGGTTTGCCGCAGGAGCCTTTCAAGGAACTCTGCGAGATGCACCCTCAGGTTTGCAGATTGGCTGTGAAGTTCCGCCAGTACCTCGCAGGGAGACTGGGCACTGCCGGCGTGTTCCAGCATTTGCGCGATTCAATGCTCAAGCAATGCACTCAGACGCACTCGACCTTGCAGGCAGCGCGGGGCGTGGACCGGGATTCCGGTGGCTACTGGTATGTCCCTGCCAGCAGCCTGTGGCTCTGGCTGATCAGCGGGCTTGCAGTGCTGGCCTTGTCTCTGACATACGGCTTCTGTGCCCAGTTTGGTGAACTCCGGCATCCGGATAGCTGTGTGGACTCTCGAACGCCAGTGCCCTTGGCAAGTGTTTGCTGGTTCGGTGTGCAAAGCTGGCCCGGCTTGCCCTGCTCGGGAAAGTCTGGCACTGTTGCAGTGAGCATCCTCATGTCTGCAGGCTTGGTGTCGAGGATTCTTGCCTGCTTCTGTCTTCCAGCTGCTTCAAGCGGCATTGAGATCATGCACGACAGCACCATCATCTTCAAGGAGCTGTGGCTGTCTAATCCAGCTACGAGAGTTGGAGTTGGTCGGAATCGGTTCGTGGATATTGCGGACATGCCGCGAAGTGCATAGTGACATTGTTGGCCTTCCCCCATGGCTAGTCCAAGTTGAGGGTTAGCCATACTGTTGATGGACAAAATTCTGCATGACCCAAATATAGTATAGTACCATAAATCCCATAGTTTAGGTATATAGGGTCATGCAGGATTTTGTCCATCAGCCGTATGACTCCCCCTTAATGCCAGGATGAAACGCTCCTCCTGTTTAGCTTCTTCGGCACTGGCGTTCAGTTTGGAATTGGTGGGTCGCTCTACTGCGAGTTCCTGTGGTTCTTCATGTCGCTTGTGGCGTCCTTGGTTTGCCATGCCATCCTGGTACTGGTGTGGATGACTCCTTTTCTCGCGACGCACCGAAGGCAGCTGCTCCTTGTGGCGGTGGTCCTGGGACGATTTCCGCTCTCCGAGATCGAGACCACCAGCAACACCATCTTAATCCTCAGCAATCGAGTGTCACTCCCTTTGGGCCTTTCGCAGACCCTCGGACTTAGCCTGCAGGCAGGGGCCTATGTCTCCTGGTTCTCATCCATCAGCACGCTGCTGGCAATCCTGATGCTGCTGACGCTGCTGCCACGGGAAGTGAAGGCAAGAGACTGGGCGGCAGGGGAGGCACCCATCAAAGTGATGGCCCTTCAAGGCATGGCAGCTGCCATCATGATGGCAGGAATCTGTGTGTGGTGGTTCTGTGACTATTTATATGCTGAAACCGGTGGCATTGCCGGAGCATTAATTGATCCAGCTTCCTACAGTGCCAGCCAGCTCGGCACATCAGATAAAGCCTTGCGGACGATCATTGTCCTCATGGCTGTCGTTTGTCCACTGTGTCACGTCGTGGCTTTTTGCCTGGGGCTGTCGGGAAAAGCACCAGCTGCAGCAAGAAAGCTAGCTGGCTTGGCTGCTACATTCTGTTTGCTGGACCTTTTCACGATCGGCTACCTGATCAGCTTCATTGAAGGCGTCGGAGGCTTCGCCTCCTCATCCATTCACGGCCTGGCTCCAAATATATGCGACCTGAGCCAGGTGAGCCTAGATGAAGACTGTTTAACTATTCGCACTCGAGTGCTCCCACTTGGCACTGCTGGCTTGGTAGTGGCGGCGGCAGCTTGGGCCTCCATGTGCAGCTTTCAGGTCTTAGGTGCAGGCCAAGACCTTCCAAGGCAAGAAGACGCCACAGCTGTCACAGCTTGATTTTGTATCAAAGTTTTTGTCGAAACTCCCTGGCCGTGGCGCTGGCCACAAGTAGCATCAGCAAAGCGGCAGACGCGAGTGAAGACATGCCTGGAGACCTAGAGCTAGAGGCAGAACCTGACCTGCACACCTCAGATCCGTGAGCATGCTGGATTGCAGCTGCTCATGATCTACCTGTAGTCTCCATTCTAGTTCCTTTTTTTTGGTTCAACCAATCATATATGTAGGAGTTTATAAGGTATCCCCTATCCCCAAAAAGGAACTACAATGGAGACTATAGATACTTTAGAGATTGTGGAACGGACGACCACAGGTTGGACGTCGCCTGAAAAGTGGGTTTTTGTTCACGCTACGCTAGCTTCGGGTCCTACGCAGCCTTCAGGGTTTAGGGTTTAGGGTTTAGGATGGATCCATGTTCCAGGGTCATCTGTTGTGGGAGTTCGTCATGACAGTTCCAGCACGCCCCAGCCGGACACCGGCTGAGGACCTGCTTTTTGAGTCATCTGAGGCTCCTGGTTGCCGGACGGCTGCAAGTTCAACACTTCTGATGATCAGGTGCTGCTCAGCACTGCCGAAGGCAGTTGAAAGACGGTATCCACAGTACCCCCAACGATGCAACATGAAGTGGGGCTGCTGCGTCGGGTGTTCATCAGGATTTGAGTCTGGGTCCGAAAGAACCATTACATTCTCAAGTGGCTTGCGTTGAGAAAGAGTGGCGAACACCGTGACATCCCATGTGCCACGAGCTATGCAGGCGAAGCTTCGACGGCCTGATTGTGTTCTGATCCCGGCTTGCTGCAAGCTCGCTAGGGGCCAGATGCATAGCAGAACTGGTGCACGTAGGCTTGTTTCCCGAACGCCTTCAAGCTGATGGTTTCACGCGCTGTCCATGTCAGGGGAGAAAGATGCACGATCACAAAGCCAAGCAGGCATCATTACCTGTTGAGCCTGCAGCAGGCGGCGGGCATACTTTTGGCCTCCTCTTGACATGCGAGATGGACAGGCCAGGCTCATGTTGCAATCTCAATCTTAGTCCTCAGTTCTTTCTGAGTCCTTGTACGGGCTCGTGTAACCTGGAATCCAGGACCTGGAATCAATGAAACTCGTCCACGGGGATTAGTGATTCGTCAAACGCAGGGTGGACCGTCGTGATGAGAGTCGAACCCGCCCGCCCACAAACCCTAAACCCTATGCGATACATTTTTTCTTGGCTCCTCCCTAGCCTGGCGAGGTCATGGTGCTGCGGAGGGTGCGTTGGTAGCTTGAGCCGCATGTACCTTAAGTCAACCTAAGTTTGGCATAAATTCCGGACCTCCAAAATCTGTATCCAGTTTTACAGATTCAGAGATTCAGTCGGCTAAAACGCGCATTGGACCTGGATGTCAGACCTGGATGTCCGGTAATTCATCCTTAGAGGATGCTCATAGCGCACGCACGTCCTGCCAGAGCTGCAGAGCTGCGGCCTGGGTGGATATTATGCAGTTTATGATCTCAAGCAATATGCAAATGACGAACATGAACCTAAAGAGATTGTCATCACACTGCTTATCTAGCTTTCTCGAATGGACATAAGCCATAAGCCACACGACGGAAGCCCACAAGACCTCCTGAACGCACACCCTCTTTTGCTTATGACTTGGTCGCTTATCGAGAAAGTGAAGCGTCCATCGCATGCTCAAGCAGAAGATGCTTCTGAACTCCAAGAGCACGGAAAGCTTGTTGCACAATCGGGTGGCTGCGTCTTGTCTTGGGCTTGGCTCAGCATTTGTACCAGCTATCATATTCGTTGTGAGACAAGCATTCTGTTCAGCACGATGCTACTTGTAGTAGCCGAAGCCTTACTCAATTACTCAGTCAACAGTTGCATCTTTGAAGCCGGTGCATCGTGCGTCTTCTTCACCTCGGGGAGCATCCATGGGCACCTTGCCAGCATGTCCGGGAGAAACCTGGTTTGTAATCGCTCCGGGCAAGCAGTCGGAGCATCATGGATTTGCGTTGTTGAGAGTAGGCATTCGACGCGATCTGGTTCAGAAACCGCCTGCATACTGAGGCGAAACATGCGTCGTTGTTCACATACGAAGCCAAAGATTCAAAGATTCTGAACGCGTCAGGGTTTGCTCGAGAAAGCCACGTCGTCATGATCTAGGCTTTGGCAAACGATCCACAACTTGTCCAAGACGCAGGCGACGTGTCCTTCGATGCCGTGGTGACCGCTCGGCCTGTGGCCGACGATGAGAGCCCAGATGCCGCAACCTGTTCGCAAAGCCACTCCTGATGCTATGGTCATGGTCGGTTGACCGCCTGTCCGGGCTACGAGCCCCGAGACCCAGCGCAACAGGAAGCCTGCCATGTTAGCTGCCTGTAGGACCTAGGACACGGCTGTCGTGCGAGTCGATGCGGGGTTGACGGTTGCCCAAGGAAAGGATCAAAGGCATCTTTCGTCGCTATGATCTGAACCGGGATGGCTCCATCAGTCGAACGGACCCTTGTCTAGTCTGCAGTCAGCAACCGGGCTAGACGTTATTGTTGTTATTGCTATATGGCTACAGTTATTGTTATTACTACTAGTATCTTTCTCATTCTACTGCGACGACGACTCTTATCAGAAGGCTGTGAGAGTTTGCAGTCACGGCTTGCGTAGGGAAGTCCGTCAGGAGCTCTCACAGGTGCTGCGGGCACTCTGTCCTTCGATTTCAGAAGACGAGGCCACTTGATCCTGCAAGAGGCTCTCCGTAGACTAGATCAAGTCGTTATAGTATAGTGTAGTATGCTACAGAATATGATGGCCCATTAGGCCCATTCAGTGGTACGCTATATAGTATATCTACACCGCCACGTGAAGAAGATGTCCAACCATCCTCTGCATGCGCATGCTCGAAATCTTGTCCTCATCTTCTGCTTTCTCCCAGCATCTGGCATTCGCACGCTCGGCGAGAATCCGTTGCGTCAGATTCATGACGTGTGGAACGTGGCATAGTTGTAAACCACCATGCAAGTCGGAGCTTAGTATGAGTTCTCGAGAAACCCCGAGGGTGTCAGCAGGCCTACACAACGCAAGAAACATCCAAGATACTCTGCGACGAAGCCGACAATGCTCCACAACAACCCAGCCTTGCAGAGTCTAAGGATCTAATGCGTTATCAGCTTCTTGAGGCCATCCATCTGAGAACTAGACAACCGTTCCGGTTTCTGAAGCAGCAGGGCTTGCCATTGAATCTACTGACGAAAAGCCATTGCGAGGCGTGTAATGGCCGAACACTATGGCCAAAACTTTACCGGCTGTTCTGCTCGACTTTGTCCCTCCGGATCGCTCCAACCTTTATCACTGGTGACCAACAACTATCGTTGTCTTCCAACAGCACACTCCGTGCAGCAGCACAACCGTGCACAAACTGTAATGCACAGTTACTTGTCAAGTTAAGCTTGGGTGACCCTGTCTTTTTTTGAGAGAGCGCCCTACAATCGTTGTTTTGCGCTGTTTTTTTGATCTTGGAGCTGAAGAGCAAGCACGGGCCCCCTATGGAACGTGTGGAATTGTAGCGCTAGCTTGAGGCCTCCTTGAGGTCTTATGGGCTCGGTAGCTACCCGGCAATTCCTACAGTACTTCCGCTCATCTTTCGGCATATGTGGTTGTGGCGACATCGCTGTTTTCTGCAATGCAGCTCACAGTCGACTGGGTCGCTGTCAGAAACAAAGCTTCCCCAAGGTCAGCCGCTTGTTCATCAAAATGGACACCAACAAAGATCAGAGGCAAAGCTCCTGCAGAGTCCAGAGGTCGTGATGCTGTCATTGTGCCGCTTTCTGAGCTGCTACTGCAGGATTCAAATCGAAGAGTTCGCTGGACACTGAGCCGGCTTCTGCACTGGATGTGCTGTCATCTATAGTTAAGTATGACTATTATGAATGGTAGCATGGCAGTCAGGCCAGAAGGTCCGCAAGGTTCGCAGGTTGATACATCAGCAGCCCGGAGCAGCCCCATCCGTTCGGCATTCGTTTTGCTGTTGAACTCCTGATCCCGAAATCGCAAGATTTTCGCACAGCCACCAAGTGAGGTAGACTTTATCTTCAGCTTTGCCGACATGTCTGATCGCGCTGCCCCATGCTAGCGATTTAGACAGGGTTTCCTCGAAGAGGTTTTGTTACGTAAGGCTGTGCACACCTAAGCCTAATCGCGTCATGGGACTGTAGAGTTGGCTTCCCACGCTGACAAAGAGCCTTAGAAGAAGGGCTCCTTGCAGAGCTCAGAGCAGCCCCAACTGGTTCCTTGCAACGGAAGGCTGGCACGGCCGCAATAGTGGTTTTGGAGACCGTTCCGCGACTCAGGAGCGTGTGCGGGACAGATACTTTCCTTAAGAGATGAACTATGCAGCGTGTTGGAATTTCTGAGCTTCACTTCAGCTGCCTGTAATCTAATCTGCTTCTGGCCAACCCCAGTAAAGTCGGAAACCAGGCGGAAGCCATCGAAACCTCAGCCCGGAACCTTCAAGCAGCTGAGGAGATGGCATTGCGGGAAAAAAGTGGGGAGCTGCGAGAGGGTGAGGCGGACCAAACTGCGGAGCGCTACAGGACCGGTGCTTAAACTCACTTCGCAGTTTGATTCAACCCGCCGTCTTGTGACAAATAGTAAGTCGGAGAAGCAAACAGGAAAGAATGAGCAATGAGAGAGAGAGAGTGTGTGTGTGTGTGTGTCTGTGTGTGTGTGTGTCTGAAAGAGACACCGACGTACATGCAAACACGAAGGCCTAAGGGCACATTGATTGCACGAGCATCACAGCCACAGTGGTTGCCAGTGCCTACAGCTCAGGCCGCAAGTTGATGCCGGTTTGGACATCTCAGACTGCGACTTCAATCTGAAAGGCAGAGTGGGAGAAGGGCCGTTTGTAATCATCTTGCGAAATTTGTATTGGAGAAGGGTACGTGAAAGAGCGCAAGATCTGAGAGCTTTGTGTACATCTCTGAACAGATAGTTACAGAGAATACCACCAAACATATGTATGTCACGACTGGTAGATGTTCTATCTGGTGGATAAATACGTGACCTTAATGTAGGAAACCCTGGCCCTATAACACCCAGAATATTAGGATTCATCTTAAGAGCCCTAACAAAGACTCAAGGTTTCTGAATCAGTTTCCTATACCAGACAGGCGAGGAGCCGGATTTGCCGGGAGTGGTGCGCGGCCTTCAGTTGCTGAATGCCCAAGCGCTGCGCGAGGCACGAGAGTTGTGTTTCCACCGCTATGGGGTTTAGGGTTCTAGCAGTATAGCAACACAGTTAAACACATCTCGCCTTGGACAACTGCATTTTTCAGCAATTCAGGAAGCAAATCCTTTCACAGTTGCACCAGTTTGAATCTCGGAGTCTGCAGCTGGTCACAAACCTGCTCTCTTGACCACTTCATCCCTTGGTGACATAGCAGGTTTTCCAGAAAGCCGACGTGAACAAGCGTGGATTCCTGCGGTTGGCAGATATCAGGCCGGTGACGGGTGGCTAATGTGGGGGCCTTAAGAATTAGAATTGGGTTTTGGGGGTATATTATACTATAAGTATAACAAGGAGCCCCCAGAATATTGGTAATTGTTTAGGCCTTGTATATTATGTCCCACATCGGAGAGTCCTTCTCCGAGTTCCAAGTGGGAGATTTTGAATTGGCATGCGGCGACCCAAGGGAAGATGCACCCTGCTGGTATGTTGTGGCGACAAGTTGAGGGCTTCCACTCTGCTTTCACGAAGCATGGAGTGGCACTGTTCATGCTTGGAAAGGCGCATTCTGTTCCCGGACTCTTCGGACTCCCTGGACAACGGCCTGGCAGTAGTGTGCTCCGGTTGCAACATGTTGCAAAAGAGGAGGGTAGGAGACTGTCTGTGCAGTGCGCCCCATGCAGCTGACGAGTCTGCGAGGAAAGTCTTCGCCCAGATGGATAAGAACAGCGACGGCAAGATTCACTGTGGGGAATTTGCAGCTTGGCCTCAAGTTGCACCTTCGTATTTGTATCTTCCATGTCGGTCGCAGCAGACAGAGTGATGTGTGACGAAATGAGGGCGTACCAGAAAGATGCGGCCCTAGAATCCCTAGAATGCCAGAACCTACTCAGTTTTCGGACTGCAGAAAAGTTGGGAAATTGATTGGGCAAACGCCGCAAGCAAGGTGTCCTACATCATGAACACGAAACGCCGCTGGGATGCATCGTGATGGTATACTTGTAGTAGCACAATTTTGTGCTTCGTGAGTTCGCTCGTCCTGGCAAAGGCCGTCTTTCTAACACGGCATCAAGCGCGGAGAAGCGCCAGGCCCTGCATTGGATGCCGCTTCGCGTAGACCCGGGCCGGTCCCAGAAAGGACCGTCTTACCACCAAAGCATAGAACATCCTGCTATCCTGCATGATCCTGTCAGATTGCCACGGCCTTCTCGGCTGCGGATGCTGACGCCAATGGCAGCATCAGCATGGAGGCCGCCGTGCCTGCCGCTGCTTCCTAAAAGGGAGTTCTCACCCAACACGATGTCGCAGCATCTACGCGAATGGCATCTTCTTATCTTCCGTCACCTCTCGCACTTGGCTTGCACGCAGTTCTGTTGATGTTTGCAACGAGGAGTTTGAGCATCTGTTCGGTGCTAACACGGCGACCGACCAGCAGATGCTGCAGAAGGCTTTTGATGCCGTGGACAAGAACAAGGCAGGCACGGGAAGTGCACGCAAATACTTTAAGGACCAAGCGGGGGCTGTTTGACACCGGTCAGACATTGCAGAGAAGTGCGGTTGAGATGCAACTGGCAGACCAGACCTTTGAGAGACACAGTTGCAGTCTTGCCTAGTTTGCCCGCAGCTAGGATGGTACCGTCTCCATGGCTGAGCTCGCAAAGGTGTATGGCAAGGCGGCTGCTGCACACCCTTCGTTTTCAGCCTGAGATAAGGGTGGTTCCCATGCTCTTGCCGTTTAATTGGGACCTTTATTGCAGGAGCTGGTGCAGGAGGCCAAAGGACTTGACGTCTCCGGCAGCATGGATGCAGGCAAGCCGGTTCAGTTCGGTCATCAGCTGACATGCCTCCGTTCGGTTTCTATAGAGTCTGTAGAGCCCTGTAGAGCATTGGCCGTGCACTTGCGATAAAGACTACTGAGGGGAGCTGACATGCCAGCGCACGCGTTCCTGTCTTGGAGACCCAGTCGTCGTGTCCGCAGGTGACGACGAAAGCGAGGAGGATTCGTGAGCTTCTGTGTCTGCAATGCTCCAAGGAGTCTTGCGTACATTCCATTGTCGTCATACATGGGTGAGGCAGTTGCTGAAACAGTTGCGTCACGCGAGCACTTCGTGCTGGCTGCGAAAGACGGGGCTCAATCATCCGCTTGAACCCCAAAGGGGCTTCAGCTGGAGCGATGCCAAAAGGCATCCCGAGAATTGCGGGAGTGAAAGCTTAGGTTTCAAGTTCCCCTGCAGCTTGTCACAGTAGGCACGGGATGTGTGCTATGATGCCGCGACGAGGGGAGGGCAGCCAGCTCGAGGTTTACCTGCATGCGCGACCTGTCTTGCCGTGTAGGTTCACTTAGCAGGGGGGTAAAACAGCGGCTCCGGGCTGTCACCTGGGACCCTAAGCCCTGAACCGAACCCGAAGCCAGCCCCCCCCCCCCACTCACAACCCAACTCCGCAGCCCACCACAGCATTCGACTCCATGGATTGAGACCGAGCCCCTGCCACCTCCTTGGCGGGCGGTGCAGCCCTGTCACAGCCACCCCACCTCAGCCAACAACTCACAAAAAGGGACGCCCGGGTGCTTCTGAGCTGTAGGGAATGGCCTGCAGCCGCACCAAGATGGGTAGGCCAGTCACAGTTTATCTGGATTGCACCTGTTAGACAGGCCAGGCTTGGGCCAGTCCAGAACAGAGTCTGTTATGTCTGAGACATGCGCACCTGCACACCTACACATACAACATATCTCGCATGAACGTATTGCATGACATTGTACCATAATACCGCACCATGCTGTTCTGTAGTCTTATAACTTATGACCTGCACAGTTCCGTCATCGCTGTCAGGCCGCGCGATCACACCAGGGACGCTACCTGAGAATGATCTACGACAAGGCTAAGTCGGTCAGCCGAGCAGGTCGCACACTCAGACGGATCATTTGGCCTAGAGTAGCGATTTGTTGCTACTACTGTCGGCATCACCCCATGACTGGCAACCAAGACGACGACTGCAGCACTACTGCTACTACTGCTCCTGCCGTCGGTCCCAGGCACCCTCTCGCTCACCTCGCCGCTGGGACGGCCGCTCCTGGTTAGCACTTGGTGTGGGGAGCCTTCTTTAGGTGTTTGGGCTTTTGGGTTCAAGGGCTGTGGATTTTCTGGGTTTGCGGCTTTACGGTGGTTCAGGTTTTGGAGCGGCAAAAGGGTTTTTGGTGTTTGTTGTGTGGGAGGTGTCTGGGTTTCAGGTGTTCCGCGCCTTTCCTGGCCGAGTTCCCAAGCCCGGATGCAACAAAAGGTTTAGGTGCTTCCCGATGTTCGGAAACCCTAAACCCTAAACCCCGAGTTGGGCTGTTCGGCTGACGAGGATGTGAATGGAGTCCCTGCAGTAAGGAATCCTCGGAGGTTCACTGTTCCGTTTCCTAAAACTTATAAGACTTGAAGGTAGGTGAATCCCCGATAATGTCAGGCTCCCGTGCCCATGCCGCAAGCAACATGGTATTCCAGACTCCTCCTCGGGCTGACGGAAAAGGGGCGATCAAACAAAAAAAGCAGGTCTTACGTCATGAGTGGCTTTGGCTTCGGTGTGGTGGTACAAGTTTGGTACTGTAGCTTTCAGTTCTTGGTCGTGGGCTGGATGCTTGCCTGCTGCGTGCGAGTGTGAGAGTCGA